GCCACCAGGGAAAGCTGGGGAGGGCTAGCCTCCCACTAGTTTGAATTAAGGGGCTACACACCCCTTAATTCGAACTAGTAAGTTCGAACTAGGCTTAGTCCTCATAGAATGAGGTTTACCTAGTTTGAACTAAGCGCTCCGCTAGTTTGAATTAAGTTCGAACTAGCGGAGCGCTAGTGTAGCGCCTATCCAAGTTAATTCGAACTAACGTCCGTTGGTTCGAATTAACTTTGTAGTGTAGACATACCCATTAGGACTTCTAGGCATTGCAGTAATTCAGAGAAGAAGAAGCCATTGCCACCTGGTCCTGAAAGAGCACTTTTGAGAATCAGGCCCAGTATTTGCATATGTGATACTAAAACAGAATTCCAAATTGGTAGAATCCATTCTACATCTGCTTAGCTTTCATTTTTCCTGACCATTTACGCTTTCTTTCTACTTATTTGAGAGTGTCTGCTGTTTTTATTTCCTTTGTTTATAGAATACCAGATTGGTTGTGTATCTGTAACTAGGCACCTGGAAAAATAATTGTATTTTTGTTCAAATGACAGTTCAAATTAAAGATGCTAAAATCCAGTGTAAACATGAAAGGAAACTAAAATAAATCTGTATTAATAAGGGTATTTTTTAATTACTTGTTTTATTGCTTTAGATAGTCTGTCAGAGTCTTTTATGTTCTCCATGGCTGACCTGTCCTTTATCTGGCAGGTGATGGGCAGGTGAATTTCACAGACTTTGTAACGGTTCTGACAGATGACCAGCGCTTTACTCAATCTATGGGTAAGAACAGTGCAATGAAAGAAAAAAAACCCTGACCTTTCCATTTTAGTGCTGACACTCTTATTGGTAATGGGAGAAGAATTGAGATTGTGGATTAGAGAAATATATACTGATCTAAAAGGAAATCTCCAGGTAACATAAGGAATATTCTAAATACTAATAAGTAATCTAAAATAACATTAAAAATGTCTTCAGTACAATATAAAAATTTAGTCAGCAGTCAAACATGAAACTGGCATTTTAACAATCGAATGATATAGGATAAGATTCAGAGAATACAGCAGATATCTTGCAAATATAAATTGTTGTAAGGTAAATTTGACTGAGTGTTATATTCTAGGATCCTGCATAGAGAAAGAAAATTGTCCTGCTGGCTTATCCCGGTGTCAAGTTCTTGGTAGCCAGAACAGTTGGTTCCTATTAGCTCCAATCCGAGAGTCTGAAAGTATGAGTGAGACATAATGAGAGACTAGCATATCAAGGAGAAAACCTATGAACAGCTAATGTCAGGAGGTCAAGGGATTCATA